TAGACAGGTGCGGCGTGGCAAGTAGCCTCTTCCCTTTAATTAGCAAGCCTTGTTTCAGCAGCAGCAGCAGCAGCGATGCTACCTTTGGATTAGCAACTATAATCCCACATTGCACCCCCCTGTACATGAGATTAATAAGGCTGTTTTCCTGCTAGCCTTAATTCCCTCTTTGCTGCCATTGGCAGCGTTATCGCTCTGCTTCAGTGCAGGAGTTATAGACAGTGTAGGCTGAGCAGTGTAAATCAACCACCCTGATACCCCCCACTGAGAGAAGGCTGAACCCTTGTCATCGTTGTGTGATTAAAAAACTGCTTTGGGCACTTTTCCCACTTTGTGTTTTTGATTCATTTCCCTGTGCAGAGTCTGAGCTTTTCTCAGGGTTGCAGCGTCCGCAGCTTTTCACATAAAATCTCATTTCTTTAACACAAATGTATAACGCTTTACTCATCATTGCCCTCCTTTAGTTTTGCTCCTCAGTGCTCCGCATTGTTTGACTTCTTAAAGGCTTGTGCTGTGACGCATGATTGCTGGGGGCAGTGCTGACATATGGCAAATTTGGGACGAGGATTTGAGACGTGTGGGCCAAGTCTTTGAAATGAAAGCTTGTTCTCTCTGTTTCCATGTTTGTGGAAGAGTCAAAATCAAAAATCAAAAAGGCTGGTTGAAAACCACATCTCAGGCATCTTTCTGTTAGGTTTTATAAAACCCCAAATGGCGCAGCTTTATTTTAATGAGAGTGATTTAATAACTGCCATCATTTACCAACAAAACCTGCCCCCAACTCCTGCATTTCTTCTGGCTCTTCCATCTGTTACAGTTAAAAGCAGTTTTTTCAAATTTTACACTGTGTTTAATCTGCTTGCTTTCACTCACCCTGCAGACTTTCCACTGTTGTGTCCTTAAACATAGTTTTTGCTGCTTTCTCTTCTTCCAGGTCAAAGCGAAAGGTCCTGGGTCGCAGGGAGTCAGAGGAAGACAAGTCTCGGGCTGGGAACGACCCACAGTCTCCTCCCACAACCACAAACACATCTCCAGCATCCTCCTCTCAGCGCCCGGCTGGCTCCATCCAGCGAAACCTCCGCAAGTCCTCTACCAGCAGTGACACGTTTAAAGCCCTGCTCCTGAAAAAGGGGAGTCGCTCAGAGACCAGTTTTAGAATGTCTGCAGCTGAGATGCTCCGCACAACTGACCCTCGCTCACAGAGAACGCGGTCCGAGTCAGCTTTGGACTCTCCTGCTGCTTCCCCCTCCTCCCCCACAGCCCTGCACAGCCCTCTAACCTCTCCCGGCCGAGGCAAAAGAGCAGCAGACGAGTGGAACCGCTACGAGGCCTTGTCTCTGTCCTCGCCAACTTCTTCAACTTATTCAATGAGTGGGTTTAAGTATGGACGTTCACGCACACCACCCTCTGCTGCCAGCAGCAAGTACAATGCTCGCAACCGAATCCTCAGCAGCCCAATGACGGTGATCTGTGAGCGTGAAGGTGAGCTGGCTGAGAGCGAATATGGAGACACTGCAGAAAGTCTGGCTGGACCCACGAATCAGACTCTCCTTGTTCTCCAGGACTCTAATGGCACTTTATCTGAAGAGAGCAGGAGTTAGAGAGCAGCAACGCCCCTGTGACCCAGGGAGCTGGACACTCATGAGCAGGCAGGGGGCAGGAGGAGGAAAAGCCAAAAGGAGGCCCCCAAAGAGCCCCATCCCCTCTTAGCGCTGTCTCTGAGGGAGCGGGCATGCCATGTCCTGATGTGAGGTCAGAAGTCGCCCAATCATGGACTGGGTTGGACTTAGTCTGAAGTAGTGGACTGGTTCTGCCGCAGCTTTTTATTCAAATTTCCCATGATTCCCTGATTTCCCTTACTTTGGTGACTCAGCCTTTTGTGTTTAAAGGATCGTGTTTTCTTCCTTTCTGCCTGGTGTTCTTAGTTTGTTTTCCATTTGTTAGGCTTTTGTTTTTCTCTTTATCTCGTCCCTAACATGCAGGAATACTTACGTTGAAGATGGCAAACTAAGATGAATTGATGGCATTGAAAAGTTATTTGCTAAACTTTGCTGCTGCGGTGCTTTCTTAACTAGGCAGTTGGAAAGTAAGGGCTTAGCCTCATGGTACCTCCGTATCTTTCTTGGTTCTGAAGAGCTTCTCAGAGCACCATGGTTTGCAGGTGTTGGCTTCAAATAGACCGTCAAATCTCCCAGACAGAGTCTGAGGTAGTGGGCCACCAGGCTGCTCAACGGTACAACTTCAGCTGCAGTAGTCACCGGGTTTTTAGCTTCTCAGTTTGCAGAGATGGTGTGTTTGATGGTCTGGAGGAAGTGCAGAGGGCTCAGCGCTGCCACCTAGTGGTGGACAAAGAGTGAACAGCAGACGGGTGTAGACTGTCTCACCCAAAGAGCAGATCTAATCTATAAGAAGAGCTCATAAAACCTTTATACATAAAATTTTAGTTTGAGATTTTGCACTGTGCATAGATCTTTTTTTCATTGTTTGTGAGTTAGAAAACTATGTTTTAAAGATTGTTTTAATAAACAAATGATGTCATTACTTGTCTTTTGGAGTTTCTATTAATGTAAAGCCAGAAATGAGTTGAGGAGGAAGGCTCATTTCCAGGTCTGTCCAGGTCTTTTAGCGGTTGTGTTGGTTACCAAAGAGCTGAAATAGTAGCTGCTGGCTGTGAATCTGGACAATAACACAATCTGAGATAGTGAGTGCTTGTCTCATTCATTAGATTCAGTTTTTGCTCAGTTTGCTGTGACTTAATCAAAGCTTTTAGGGCTCAGATGATTTCTATAATGCTGTTGACCTTTCTTTTTGCAGTTCTTCGTGGTTCTGTATGTAAATAGATAAATAAATGAGTTTTAAGTAACATTTCTGACTTACTTTCAAAGACTTTGTATATTTCTAGAGCTCTATGTTTGTTGGAGGGGGTCGTTTTCCTTTTTTAGATTATTTATTTTCATGTAGCAGGCCTGTGACATACTGTCACCATCAACCAGCAAGCTAAAAGGGCAAAGGGAAGGGAAGAAACCACTTTTACTCTGCTGCTGCCCACCAGGCTGTTTCATTCTTTTTAAGGTGCTTTAGAGCAAAACAGAAAATGCAATAATGTCAATATTTATGCTTAAGCCTTCTACTGCCCTGAATCTTGAGTCATGCAAAACCTCATCTGGTGCTCAGAGCAGAGTAAATGTGGAGTGTCCCTCTGGAGTCATAAGCCGAGGTGACGGGCGTGAGACTTCATAACCTCTTAACACCATGTGGTTTAATCACCTGTGACCAAAGTGTGTCTCCCTTGATAGAACACCCTGGGGGGGCCCTGGTGACAGGAAACATCTCAATCTGAAAGAGAGAGCTTGTGAAAAGATGAGGAGGACAGAAGAAGTGGTGAGGAAGTGGGAGTGGAGCGGAAGGCAGGCTGCTAATGCTCTGTGTATGTCTGTGAAATAAAAACAAGGTGATATTTAAAGAGCTGTTATTTGTGTCTTTATTCTACCTGTATGTGTCTGACTGTCTGTGGGATTCAGAGCCATCTGCCAAAATCACAGACTCATTAGCAGCGTCGCCATGGTGCCCTGGCTTATCTGTCATCTGGTGGCTGTGGATCAGCCCTTTTCTCCCTGTGGGGTCATCAGTTACATCTCCCTACAGACACTCAACCTATAATAGAGCGTCACACTGACTCCAGATCAGTGTAGAAGCAGCACGACTACGTACACCCACCTTTCAACATTATCTACAGGTCTCCTTAACCTCTCTAACCACCTCTGGACATCCAGCATTGGAGCCCAAGGGCAACAAAACACCCACCACCTCTTGGTTTTTACAGTAAAGTCCTTCCTCTTGCTGTGGAGCAGAGTCACCTCCTGTCTGACGCTGCGTCCATCTGGCTGTCAGACACCCCCCCCTCCCCCCCCGACCATAATAACACCATTGACACTTCTCTCTCCCTCTCTCTGCTCTTATATTTAAGACCTATGTATATATATACCTGTTCTAGGTGTTTATGGAGTCATGAGTTCAATCTGCAGAAAAAATGATCTACAGTAAATTAATCAGACTCTGTTAATAGTAACCTATTTTCAAACTATTCCTTCAATATACTCATAAAAGCAGACAAGAAACTACTTGTTGATACATTTGATTTGAACTTGTTCGTTTGCTGTCACCTGATTAAGCAGTTTTTTAAGCTCCAGAGAGGAACAATTTCTTTGGCCCCTTGCTTACAAAGCAACAGTTTGTCTCTTAACTGATCTTTTTTTTTTACCTCATTTTTTTTTTACCAGTTTCCTCTGAAAAAAATCTCAGCCAGCTTTCTTTATCAGTCAAACATATGACCCCCTTTGGATATTAGCTTTAGAAATGAAAGGTTTGTTTCTTAGTGAGCAGTCACACTATTCATTTGACCCCCCCCCCCCCCCTCACAGCTTTTACAAGCATTAGTAACAATATGGACTCTGTTAATTTTGTTGACCCTGCTTCTTTGCTTGTTAGGGACATAATCATAATCTAAACTCTTGTCTGCTATTGTCAAAAATAGGTTCATGAATCTCAATTTTCTGTTCAACAGAGCAATACATTTACAAAAAAAATAAGGCTATTGTAGAAGCCTTTTTTTTTTAGTTAATATGAAGATTTTATGTTATGTATTCATAACATATATTATATATTTATAAATATATTGTATATTTATGTAAATATATTATTTAAAAATGATTAAATGGGTTGATTATGTTGATTTATAAATTTGTCTACACCTTAGAAAATGTTTGGTTATGGATGGACTGGTCGTAATCTTTAAAGTCAGCCAGCACAGGTGAGCAGGGTAGTTCTTTTGTTTGGTCCAGGGTGAGACAAGCATCCCACAGTATTTTTTGATCGTGAAATGTGAGCTGAGTTGAATCCGTTTTTGATGTTTTGTTTTGTTTTTGAATGGTGAGCTCAATGGAATCTGCATCTGTAAATAAATGGAGCAACCACTGACCTGTGAGTACAGGAATCATTTTATGTATGAAAGTGGACACACGTCAGGACAGTAAGGCTTGTCTCATTCAAGTGGCTTTTAAAATTGTTTAAGGAGGAATCTGCCACTACAGGTGTTGCAATAAACCCAGACGTCATAAATTTACAATGAATAAAAAGCAATGTTAAATTTGTACTTCAGGAAGATATGGTTCTTCAAGGTAGAGTTCATTAAAGTCCTGAGGAACTACAACCTTTTACAACTAACTGGAAAAAAAGACTTACCTTGTAGCAAATCTTTCATAAAGGTAGAGCATGCTGCAGTAATAGGATAAGATAAACCTTAATTCATCCCATGGTCAGGAAATTTGCCCTTTTAACAGCAGCAAAGGATCAGCACAGCAAACATGGACGAATAAGTACATTCATGCACACAGTGCACACAGAATTATAAAAAAAGTGAACTTAGACCTATAAAAAATGTTACATAAAAAAGAGAGAGGAAATGTAAACAACAATAAAACTAAAAACTGTTGTACACAGTGAACAAAACAGAAATCAAACATGTTATTGCAAATGATCTGAGTTCTTATAGCTGAGAAAAACTATTTTTGTATTTGCAGTCGTATTAAATATCTAGCCTGTCAATATAGTACGTTGAGGTAACATTGAGTTATTGTCCGTTAGTTGTACTTAAAAACCTGGATTCCTGAGCGTAGGCCTGGTTCAACAGTCTGACTGCAGCAGGAAGAAAGGAGGTGGAGTCTACTTTGGCCTTTCCTGTAAAGTGAGTTTGTGTCATCAGTCCAGTCCAGTTTATTGTTCAGGTGAACACCCAGGTACTTGTAAGAGTCCACAATCTCAATGTGCCCCCCCCCCTGAATGTTCACCAGTGAGGGAGCGGTGGGTCTGTGTCCAGCATTGATCTGGAGGAGGTTCCGTTGACACCAGTCCACAAAGTTCAGGTTCAGTTCTCTGTACTCCCTCTTGTCATCATTGGCAATGAGACCAAATATGACGGAGGTAACCAAGAACTATGGTGAAGTACAAAGATGATTTAACTTTAGAGTAAGATCATTTTATAACATCAGGATAACTTTTCTCTTGGAGCATAAAGTTTAATTTACATCGGCTTAGTCAGTGAATCCATCAATTCATTGAATAATTGCTATTTTGATAGATAATCAATAAATTTCAGTTAATAATGACACAAATGTTGTTGTTCAGCCTCTCTAATGTGAGGTTTTGCAGTTCTTCTGACAGCAAATGTTTACCCATAAATAAAGTGAATATACTGTGTATGTCTGTGTGGGGTTGTGATTGCCTTTTTTTAAAAACTTGTTTTGAAGTTAATGTTGAAAACTGCGCTAATTAGCCTACCTGAAAGTATAATGGATTGGTTAATTATTTCTGCAGAGTGAAAACTAATAGCAGCCTGTGAGGAGTAAAGTTAAAGGTTTACTGTGGAATACAACCACGTCAATAGAACTCATGTGTCATATAGTTTCATGTCTGACTGATCAATATGCTGATTTAAGGTCTCCACTCAGTTGTGGGTGGATAAGATTTAAACAACTATTAAATTTAAATTAAACTGTGAGTCTCAAATATTTCTTTTCCATACAAATTTTTCATTCCATCGATGACATCGACCACACCAACTAGCATCACACAGAGTATTCCTGTTGGTGTGTATGCAGAGGACAAAATAAAACATTGTTTCTGCTGAGCTTTTGAACATGATATTGGGAACATTTCTGCCAAAAATAAAACAAGTGACTCAGCAGACGTGAGCCTGTTGGCGAGAGGGGAAGGTGAGGAAGGATGAAGGGCAACGTGGAAGCGGGGGGTGGGGGGGTGGGGGGGGGGGATTCATCCAGCTGATGAAAGGTCACAAGCATCAGAGTGTGGAGGAGGAAACTGGATATCCTCGATAGATTAGATAAACAAGTAACAGTGAGACGAAAAATTCACAATACAACAACAGGTTCAAACAAAGTCGTCTGATTGAACAAAAGGAAATGACATGAGTGCTTTAATGAAGTATGTCACCACTGGGACTTTAATCTATGTGTATCATTGAACTTCAGGTGTGACAAAAACAGTAGAGGTTATCTACGCAAAATCTCAAAATTCATGAAGCACCAAATATGCTGGCAAATCTGAGCTTAGTGCAGTAAGGCAGGAAATGACACACTTATTAACTCAGCTGGGGAATGGACTTTTGAGGCTGAAGCCTGAGTGGTGCCAACTATTCTGGTCCAGATTTACTGTGACTCAGCCCCTCGCTGTAACAAGTGTGACAGCAGTGACAGTAAGTGAGGACAGAGATCAGACAAACTGAGGTTTACCAACATTTAATCTGTCAGACAGGCAGAGTCACCTTCACAGTGAGACTGCTGAGTGACAGGAGGAAAAAAGCTGCTGTTAGGCTCTGCCGGTGACACGCACAGTCAAAAGGATGGGTGCTCAATTTTCAAGTTTACCTTTAAAGGATCGAAGAAATGATTACTATGTGAAAATTTGAAGTGTTATTTGCCACTGTAGTGATTTCTCTTGACGCACCGGCTGCAAAGATGCGTCTTTATGTTGGTTTATTTGTGATTGACTTCAAACTTTAGTTCTTAATCTGTTAGACACCATCAAAAGCTGCTGGAGTCTATAAGTAGCCAAAATAAGAGTAAGGTTATATTCAAACTAAGTACTTTTTTTCCAACGAGCTGCATTCCCAAACATAAAAAGTTGGAATTACATCAAAAATTGATCAGTCAGTAAGCCAGTTTCAACAAGAGGAAAAAACAAATCTTCCCTTTTTTAATCGTATGAGGTAACAAATAAAGATTAAAACTCAATGAATAAATATCAAGCAATGAGAACCACAAAAAGGAAATGCATTCTCAAAAGGTCACTCACATCAAAAACTTAAGAGGCACTTTGGGTTTTCGAGCAAGAACATTGATTAAGAAAAACAATTCCTGACTTATTGTCTCCACCTGCTGGACACAATGTGTCACAGCACTCAGTTTTTCTTCCAGCTTCATTTGTCATGACTTTTGGCCTACCTTGGTCCATAATTCAGTAACTTTTAGTAAAGACTATAAAAGATAATAACAGACAGAATAAAGGGATTTAAAATGCTCTTATTTTGTGTTCCCTTCAAAACTAATACTATACAAATACCAGTTTGAATTTTTTATATTAAGTGCCTTTGGTTTCTGATGAGTGCTGCAGAACCATCAAAATGTTTTCAAGTCATGGTCATGTTGTTCAAAATTATTAAGCATGTTAGACTTTGTTAAACTTAGAGCTGGCCTTTAAGTCCCCTACTCCTGCTCCTTCTTCAGCACCCACACCTCATTCCTGCGGTTGGTCAGTTTGAAGGGACTGTCATACCCACATACATAGTAAGGATGGTCAATATAGGGAACTCCATCTCTCTGCAGACTCTCCAGAAGTTTGAGGAGCTCTTGCTGCTTTGTGTTTTCATTCGAGAATCCACCATAGGTCCTGGAAAAAAAGAGAAAGAAAAATTAGTAACTATGAAACTTCAACTCACAACTATCTAGATTTAAAGTTTTAACTCAGTCTTTTCTTTATAATTGACCTGACATAAGCTGTGAACTCTTTCCTGTGCTCCACAAAGACCTCTGGATCGCTTGGCTCAGGCGGGTTTTCCTGATGTTCCTCTGGGATATAGAAGGAGACGGTGAACTGAGACTCACATGCAGGACCAGCTCCAGGGTCAACACGGCCAGACACAGGGGCTGTCATCTCCACTTTTACCTCTAAGGACCGAAAAATGAAGGTATTTTTGAAAAAATAAACAAACAAAAGCTTAAATATATATCAAACTAAGAATGACATTAATGTTGCTGGAAATATCAAACTTTTATGGATGATTGTTTGACCATGTCATCAGTTTTTGTGAGAGGTACTGATATGAAATGTTCCTAACCTCATACTGAGCAGGTTCAGTGACAGATGGTGGATAAATAAACATAATGCACAGCAGATGTGGAGGATTAAAACTAGGTTTTAACACCCCAACACTGCAGACCTCAGAAATCAACTGTACAAACAATGTATGCTCTCATTAATAATGCTGCTGCAAACTGCTGAATAAGACAAAGACAGTGTCGCTGTTTCAAACTGCTGAGCAAGAGCTAAAGTGTTCTCTTGCATTTATTCATCAACTCTCTAGTGTTCACACCAGTTATCCATAATTTCATTCTGCACAATATGCGCAATATCACCTCAACTTTCAATAATACCTAATTTCATGCTGCAACATAAAAGCCTCATTAACAAGCCTACACTGTTCCACACTTTACATACTTTTATTTTTCCCTTCTCATCCGAGTCTCTCATGGGAAAAATGACCAAACAAGACACAAAAATTCTGTTGAAACTCACTGTTTTTGTTGTTGCCTTGGATGTAGCTGAACAGTCTGCGAAAACCTGCACTCAAAGCTGGGTCCATCTGCATCCCCTTTAAAGTGGTGCTTACCCACTTAGTGGCATGGTAGGTGCGGATCTCATAGTCTTGTCCCTGCAAAACATACACAAAAACACTTAATCATCAATATGCAATTTCATTAATGATGTCAAACATGTATAAACACTTTTCTGGAGGATAATTATGATGTGGAATAATTTTTGGTTCTGTAACTTAAAAACATAATGACTTATTGATACATTTTCAGAACCACACACTTTTCAATGAGTAAACTCAATCTTTTTACTTATGCAACACAGACTGGTGAAGGATAGGCTTTAGAATCAACATTTTAAGTGAAATCGTCTGAAACAGTGTTGGCTCTTCTGCTTCAAACCATACTTCAGGGCAAATATGTGACAGACACCCGTCAGCAGCCCATGGAGGTGTAAAACAGGTGACAAACAGATGACATCCGGTCAAAGTTTCAATGTTTTTACAAGGCAATCTGGGGAAACATTCACCTGTTTCTCCGCCGCGGTGAATTTTGGGTTCTGCAGTCCTGAGGAGAACAGAACTTGTCCCATAGCTTTCAACATGACTGGTGAAGAGGAGGTGGAGAGTGTATCTCTAAAGTGAGATATTTACAAATGCAGACGGTTTTAGTGCCAATGCAATACATTACATCGATCGTATTCAAAGTTAGACGATATCAGACCCCACGCTGGTTCATAACCTGTTACATCAGGTCACATGAGAGCAGACAAACGGGTCTGAGCTTGTTAAACAACTCATTAAATACATATCGTATTTAGTCATTAACAGATACTTGCAATACTCATTTTCCTGCGTTATTTCATGGTGGTCTTTCAACTATTTTCTCATCTTTCAAGGTTCAAAATTTTACAGACATTGGTAAAAACGTTACCTGTTAAGAAAGCGCGTTGGGTCCTCGCTGCCACAGAGCTGTGCGTTTGTTTTTATAACATCGCTTCCTGTTACCAAAAAGTGGAACCTGATTGGCTTAACCACTCTACTTTCAAAATAAGAGTATTGACCAACAACTCGTATTTACCTTTGGCTCCATTTTCTTCTTTTTTCACAATTCTTGTCCCTCTGGATTTATCTTAATACTATATTAAACTACCTGTGCTGCAATAAATGACACCAGTAAATGACACCAGTCACTGACTGGTTGATGGCTTATTTTGAAGGGCTGTCGTCGCACAGGCAGTGGTGAAGCTGCACCAGCTTCAGACAGCCCTCCAGTATTAGTCATCCAAACACTATGAAGTAAACAAATTTATTCTGTTTATTCCGTGTCCTCCATATACACTCTGAGGATGAGTTTATTTATCCAATTGCTGTTTGTGAAACCACTTGGAATAAAAAAAAAAAGGTCTGCGAGGGCCTTGGATGCAGTCACAAAATAGGAAATTATGGTTCTAACTTTTAAGTCACAAAGGCTTTTCTTTAATGTACATTTTGATTGGTACTGATAGTGTATTCTTATGTATTGAAATGTTAGAACCCAATGGAAGAACTTAGCTGTCATTCCTAGTTTGGGAGTTCTGTACAATTTCTGTATCAAATAAACTACATCAGCAGTCCTGCATGTGCTTGAGAATAAAAAGTTTTATCAAACCATTGCTTAAATCAATCTCCACCACACAGTTAAAAGCAGTTTCCTGGAAGAGCACCTCCCTTTTATTAACTACATTATCAGTATTTACACCAAACCGAACTTTACAAGAAAAAAAAAACAACATTTAAGAAACACAGTTCAGATGATATTAGGCACATACAGAGGCGAACAAACTAAAACCTAATTTTAACCTTTTAAATCTTGAATATACACACAAACAAACACGGTGTCAAGGACCATTTAATGAATTGAAACAGTTGTTACATGTGTAGCTGATTTAAAAACTGAGGTGGTGTTGTGGTTAACCTCTGCAGGTGACTAAAATTATGCAGTTTCATCTACAGTTGGCAGCCTGTTTGTATAGGAGCTTTTGTACACAGATTATGGTTTCTTTGGAGATGAGAGGGACAGCTGCATACCAAGCAGGCGTTGAACAAGGCAAGCAGGAGTCTTGAGACTTAAGGATGTATGGTTTAACATTTGTGACTTTGTATGCACAATACAAACTGCAGCTTTTCTGAAATATGCACACACACTCACAGGTATAGTATGAGGACAAGGGACAGTAAAAATTTAAACTGCAGGGACATGCAATCTAATCCAATGACCAAAGCAGCTTTTTTCTCCACTGTCCTATGAGAGGAGACTGTTTTGGAAAAGGCTGAGAGATAGAGAGGGTTGTCAAAAGTCTATTGTTTAGAGAGTACAAATGTCACTGTGACAAACAGCAGCACACAAATCATCACCAGAGCATTAGAGCTGCAGCTACAACTTGTTTATAATTTCTTTTGGTGGCATCATTGAGAGGAAAACTGGGCCCTTCAAATGTTCATTAGACAGTTCATTTATTGATATTGATATTTAACAGTAAATACTAATGGGATTTCTTCAAAAATTACTACAGTTTGATTGATACACTGGTCATTTTTTTGGCGGGGTATGAGCTGTGTATCAATCAAGAGCACTGTATATGATACACTTTTATAAGGCTCTCTATCTTCGATAAGTACGAGCATTCTGTGTTCAGGTTGTTTCGGGTGCAGTTCTGGGGCTCTGTGAATGTTTCAGGGTTGGTAGTTCTGGTGGACGAAGGACAGAACATCATCTTTGGACAGTTTCTCAGGATCCACCCGAGTCTGGGAGTCGTGAACAATGACCCCATCCACCCAGGCCCAGAAGAGCCTCTCTGAGTGGCAGACACTGAAAATGAAGATAGACACACATTCATGTTCAATAACAACAGTGTCAAGGTTTTCTGGTATAAAGTAAATGAATCAAATATGGAAACAGAACATACTGGAAGGGAGCGGCAGAGCTTGGCGGCATCTCATAGGTCGACTCTTTAGTGGTCTTATTGAAGAAGAACTTCATCTTGGAGTTTTTACTGTACGCCATGGTCCACGGCTCTGATGTTAGATCAGAATTACAAAATAGAAGCATTAGTAAATTACTCCACAAAGACCATATCAAATTTGAAGCATCAGTGAGCTGCAGCACATGTACACACACACACATTCATACCGTTGACAGTCTTAATGATGTAAAGGCCCGTGGGGAGGAAGTGTCGATCATCTCTGCCGGTGTAGGACAGACGCGGGACTCCTCCTGAACTCTTTGTCACCTTCATTTCCAATCTAGATGAATACAAAAAGAAAAAAAAATTCAAAAGTTGAGTTCTTGAATTGATATGTCACAGATGTTTTTTCTTTTTTTTTTAAACACACTGAAGATTTAACACGGCTCCTGCCATACCTGACAAAGATTTTCTCCATTTCCTCCAGTCTGTAAACCTCTTTCACCCTGTTCGGGAAAAACAGAAAATTGAAAGTTGAGATGATTCCAGATTAAAATGTAAATAAAAAGGTCAAATGAATAATCACCGTTTTCCATAAAACACACACACTCAATAATCCATTAAGAATAGTCTGAGAAACCACTAATCCTTCCACTTCATTATAAAATAAATGATCCTTGAATAAGCAAGTATTTCTATTACACGTTTCCACATCATCCCTTTGTAAGCTGCAAAGTGGACTTAAAAACTACAAACCTTACTCCTATGAACAAAGCTCAAGCATTTGTCTGAATCAAAGGTAACACAGCAGATTTGATCAGATTTCCAGAAGAGTCCTGTATATGTTTAGTGATGTAAAAGTAGACAGTATATGTTCATGTGTATTTTCCTACCGTTTTTATTTTTAGTTTAGTGATATGAGAGCATTTAAAGTTACAAAGTAGCATTTCAAACAATTCCCTTCATCTGAATAAACACCTGATTGGGTTCATGTCTGGTCTGCTGGGTTTGGCCACTGCCTTCACAAACTTCTCCGCCATGTAGATCCTAGACACGCAAAAGATTCATTGCAGGTCAATTCAGCAACAGAAATGTGAGTGTTTATTCTCAATATCTAAATAGAAAATTAATTATCTAAAACAAAATTTAAGGATAAAACCCCCAAAGCTGTGGTGGTGTTGTTGTCCTACCTTTGGTTAAAGTGTTTATCTCTGACATCAGTGCCGTTCAGAATCAGAGCGTCCATCACATGAACTGCATTGATTCTGCGCTGAGCTTTGCCCTGCAGACAAAATACTTTGATCAATACATGTGAAAACAAACCCATGAGCAGCAAATAACAAGCTTGTTTGGTCGTATTTATGACAAAATGCAGTGGTCTCTTTTTTGGGGTCAGAGGATTTGAACAATTTTTATGAAGTAAAAATGATCTTTCAAGAGCTGTCATTATTATTTCAACATTTAACAGACGAGCCAGGTCTTAGGAGATCTGGAATCTGTCTCCCATATTTCATGTGTACTGCCCCTCCTCTCACCTCGCCCTTCAGCTCTTGGACAATCTCCACACTCAGAAGTGTATCTCTTGGCAGTTCCAGCTTAAAATTCTCCAGTTTCCTCCACCGCAGAGGCATCTTCCCATCCCATGTGTAGATTTGAGACTTCTACGGAAGCAAAGGAGGCACAGAGGGAAAAACGATAAAGAAATGGAACTGGTTTAAGCCCTCTGGCTATTTCCAAATTGAAAAATACATTTTAAAGGTACAGACTGGCTTATCAGGGCAATCCTTTTTAATGCTTTTTAAGAAGAAGAGGAGACAACTTCACATGAAACAGCAGAGTTTGGCTGTGACACTGGGATGGTATAGTATCACTTTAACAGTCCACATAACAGCTGTTATCAGATAACAAAAAAGACACATCCAAAGAAAAACATTCCAATCCTACTCTGTCCAAACCATGAAGTGCAAGAGTTGCGTGAAATGTAACTGCAATCAGATGAAACAGTTGGGTCTCGTATGTCTCCCCTGACTCACCCCCAGCGCCAAGAGGAAAATCTGCTCTCCTCCTCCCACAATGCACCTGTGGTCAAGGATATGACGCAACTTCTCAAGGGTGCTGGAGTTGAGAGGCGTCAGCTTACATTGGAACGTCTCCACATCTGGATTCTTTGGTGCAACAGATGTTCACAGAGGCAGAAAGTCAGAAAAGTTTCAGCTTGATAGCTGTGTTTAGAGTTTTAGAGCAGTCCAAAATGTACACAATCCAAAACATTTGATTTAACCTAGGTTTTTATTAAGGGTGAGACAACTGACCTTGAGCAGTTCATAGAACTTAGACTTGGCATCTGAGGAGGCAGGAGTGACTCTGGCTTTGTCTGGGATCTGGAAATGGACACAAACTGTGTTTGAGGATGAAATGACAAAGAAAACCATTTCAACAAACGCTTTTATTTTTAAGAATCCTCTCTCAGTCTGATTTCAGCTTTTTACATGCAGGAGCTTGTCAACTCACTCCCCAGAGTTTCAGACACTCCTTCCTGATGTCTGCTTGCCGTGGCTCTGAGAGGGTCCTGAAGGGACAAAACTAGAGTAAGGTCACACGAATACCACCACACACAGCTGTAGACAAGCAAGAGAAAGGTTACTTACGGGTTTTCTTTCTCAAGAAAACCATGACCTGGATGAATGAGAATCTACATGGACATACTTACGGGTCAACAACAAAGGCATGGATCTTGGCCAGTGCCTTGATCTGGACTGCACAGAGGCTGCAAAGAGAGTTCAAACATTTTCCATCAGCCACTCAATTTCGCAGATCAGATCTCTATAACTGCTGTCTCTCTTTACCTCTCATTGGAGTTGACCATAAACTGGTAGAAGTCTGTGTCCTCTTTGATGATGCTGAGAGGAACCACATCTGTGACATCAGAGTCTGTGTTCCTCAGCTGGTTCAGTTTCAGGTTGACTCTGAACATATACTCCCTAACAGCGTCTGTACCGGGCTTCAGGCCCCGGCACACGATGTATCTGCAGGAAGAGGACAACAGCTGTCAGAATATTCTGCACAAGAAGTCTTTTTTTTTAGAGCAAATCATACTCCACTCCAAAGAAAAGAAACACAGTTCAGTTGACTTATCAGTATCTGACAAAACTTCACTGAGGGAAGAAGATCAAGGAAGATCCTCTAACATGCAGAACGTTTTAAAATATCAAAGCAAATGTGAACACTTTAATAGTCCTGAATGTCCAGATATCAACTAGAAGCTGCCATGGATACATAAATGAAAGCTAAAGAGACTAAAGAGACACAGCCCCACCTCTCAGAGTTGGCCGGCCTGCTGGTGAGAGGTTTGAAGAGAGAGATCCTGTCAAAGCAGAGGTAGAGCAGGTAGACTAACCCCACACTAAAGGGGGTGAAGAGGTCAAAGGTCTTACAGACAAAGTGACCACCTGGAGGAGACATAAACAGATGCTAACATTGAGCCAGAATCCATCACAATTATCACATGGACACACAAGTACAGACTAACTTCACACCATTGTAGGTAAATCATGACCAAAAAAGAAATGTCTTCACTGATTTGACAAGACTGAAGAAAAACTAGACTCATCAGATACTGTCTACTTTAATAGAGTTTAAAACAAGAGACATTTTAGTGCTCGTATAAGGTGATGCATCCATTTACACACATTAACACATACCTGTCCTGAGTGTAGACAGAGCAGTGAGGAACTGACAGAGGAGCAGCTGTTTGCTCAGGATCTCCTGGATATTTTCCTGTCCTTCCACAGAGAAACCCTGCAGGAGGGAATGAGAGAGAGCGGGAGAGAGAGAGAGAAAGAGAAAGAGAGAGAGTCACCACACACACTGACATCTCAGTTAACACAGGAATATGTGTGTGCAAAGAGTAAATTGAGGATTATTTTAACAGCAGAAAAGTGATTCAGCATGTTTGGAAAAATAATTTCAAATAGCCTCACCCCATCTGCCATGAGGAAGTGCAACCCTCTTTTCTCTGTGCTCTCCAGGACAAAGTTTCTGAAGGCCGTCATGTTTTCTGGCCTGGTGATGTCTCCATCTCCGTCCACGCCTCCCTCCCCTGGGACAAACAGAGGTCAAGCTTTCAGTGAATCATTTATCACCTGAGCTGCCCCATGAACATGATGAACAGGTTTGTGTGCATACCGTAATAAGGCTCAAAAAGTTCGCTTGGCGCTGCATAAAAATCCTCAAGCTTAAAGTCACAGGGGCCTTTCAGTGTCATGCCAAAGCCTTTGGCATGCCAATGCCTCCTCCACAGGATGTACTCTGAAAATCCTCCGGGCCCTGCACAGACGTCACCAAAGTAAAGGAGCTCTCCGTCACGGTCCCTTGTCAGAGGTTTCTGCATAAAGAGAGTATTTTTTTCACCATCTGCTTGTATGAGCTGATGTACCATCATGCACCACGAATAAGCAGAAACTTCATCAAACTCACCCCTTGTAGATCCTTTGGGTTTGTAAACATGTTGTCAAAGCAGTGGTCGATGTTTGCCATTTTCATAGCTGCTCTAAAAACAGAATGAAAACCCTTGAATTGCCTAAAAGGTATTTATGATACAAACCACTCTTGAAAAATATGGAGCATTTCCCAGGAGAACAGACACAGCTGCATAATAGTTGATAAACAAACATTCACTGTATGCCTTGATATCTGTGTTACTGAAGGGGGAAAGTAGGCTATCACTAAAATGAATCATGTAATGTACCAATTTACATTTTTTGGATGTTTTATCATATGATTTGCTTTGGTAGAACTAAAATCATACTGTATGCACAGTTATTAACAAATGTGTACTCAAACACAAACCACCTCTCGGCAGAAATGTACTAGTAATCGGTTCTTAGATTTACAGTTAAAGAATACAGTATCATCCACACTGTACTTTGTGGAGCCTATCCTCATGTACTGACTGACCTGTTGAGGAAGATCCCTCCTCTGATTGTCTCATAGGGGTTGGATCGGGTTCGCGCTCTCCTCATCTCCTCACTCTCCAAGTTATCAAACACAGTCTGGACATCAAACAGACACAGCAGTTAAACGTCAGCACTTTGTCAGCTTATTGATACGGGTCTATTCTAGCAGAGGAATCCATTTAAAGGGTTTTAAACATTGAACACGTTACATATTTTGATCTTACTTACCACACTACAGTGAAGAAATAGGATTACAAAAACCTTACAGTTATTTTATATGAAAGACACAAAGGGGAAGAGTAAAACCTCCTAAGACCTGGGATAACTTGTATACAAAATTCATATTGAAATATTCATTCACATGTTGTACTAGTATGTCTTAAAAAGTTAAGCTATCATAAAGAAGTTAATTTTTTCATTATGACTTAAAATTAGTAAAGTAACTCTAAATGATACATGATATTTGAGATTTTTTCTCATGTTTTGAAACACGTTTGCATGTTCGTTAAAAAAAAGGGAAATGGAAATGAAATAGAAATTGTAACTCACCTTGCACCTTAGAAGAGTGTGCAGGAGATCTTCAGTGCAGAACTCTGTCTCATCCTCGATCTTAAGTTTTCTCTGTGACGGTCAAAAACAAAGCTTGAATAACAAAATCTTTACTTACGAGGCAAAAGACTGGTCTTGAAGTTAAACTATGTATCACAAACATGATTTTCATGTACATGTTTTTGCATATTTTTTGCCATTCAAAAAAACAAATCGGTGATTGATCATTAATTGATATGATTAATCAATCAAGGGACTCTCTTAAAATGCTCATTCCTGGTCTGAAGCATATTTACCCTTCCGAGAATCATCCAGTCTCTCAGCTCATCTGCATCTGGAGTTTCTGTGGTGCATTCTGGGAACCAGTCCACCTTCTCTTTGGCACTAGGCTGGACGGACCAACAGTGAAAGACAATGAATGAATGAATGAATGAATGAATGAATGAATCAATCAATCAAACAATCAAGCAAGCAAATTAGGTAACTACAGATAGCATAAATAGTTCCCTACAACAGTCGAAAGAAAATCGTTCTGGTTGTTTCAAATTAGAGACAAAACAAGAGAAGGCTACATTTCTCAAGCCATATTTGCAGTTGTGGGACAAATTGAAAGGTGTGGTATTTATTAGCTGCTGTTTACCTCTGGTTCATCACGCCAGTCGACATTAAGCTCTCCTTGGAAACCCTGCAGAGTGAGACCAAGACCCCTTCTTCCTCGCTGAGTGGAGGCCTCCACGATTTCTTTGCGACCTTGGCTGAACTTACCCAGACCTTCGCCCTCACGAAAGCCCATTTTTGCCTGAAGACGTAGTTGGTGAGAATTAAAATTGAGTTAGAAAAAACAGCAGGAAAACGCTTTTCTGAATACAAACGGCATCTGCTGACAGCATTTTAATATATTACCATGAGTTTCTGTGACACACTGTTGTACATGGAAAAATTAGAGGCGGTCTTTGTGCCATCAGCATCTTGGTCATCAAAAGATGACATGGAGGGCATGGAGAATCCTGGTCTATGGTCATCCTGGTCACTGAGGGAATCATTTTGGCTTGAATCTGGTGGGAAAAAAAAGACACAAAGGTTAAAACCTCTGTCCGTGTAAAGACAAGAGGAGACAGAAACACAGAAGATACACTTGACATGACAAAACTGCAGTTTCAAGGCTTGTTAGAACTTGATATGTAACAATGACCTGACATGTCAAAAAAAAAAAAAAAAAAAAAAAAAAAAAGGAATAAACAAACTGCTGATATGCTGATAAAACTTTTTGCCCAAAATTTAGCAACTTTTGTATATTGGGCAAGTTATTACAGTAAGGTTTTTTTTTAAATAACATTTATACCGGCTCTGACAAGACTCTTTTTGTACTGGCCACAGATAAAAAAATCAGGTCTCTGCAGTGACTTGAATGGAGTACTTAATAAGCAACCCCATTCCCAGCTTGGAGTAACATATTTTCAAGTATCCAATGTGAAATTTGTGAGCACAACAACCAAAATTATGAATCAAAATTATAGCAAAGAGCTTTTGTTATTACCCTTAAATTTACAGCAGACAACGTAATCAGGGAAAAACTAATGAATGTACCATGTCTAGATAATTGAGACTCATCATCCGAGCTGCTGTCCTCACAGTGTCTCTTTGTCGGATGATGTGATGCTGAAGCCTCAATTCTCCTCTTCATCCTGGCTGAAACAAAGCAGAGGACGATGAGAATGAAATACTACTTCATTGTGTGAACAGCAAAGCACACAGAGGACAAACTGGGATGCACAGGCATGATATGTAAATTCTAAAAATGGCATATATGTAAACACACACACAAACACATAAATATTAAAGTTCAGTAAAAAGTATGAAACTCTGTAACACATGATACCCATCGATTCATTCATTTATGCATTGATAGATTTTGTTTCTTTCTCACAGACAGAGAGGCACATTTACGGTGCTGTTTACTCACCAAAAAGTGACTAACAACAACATTCCATGACATTGGACAGCTATCAACCAGTCACTGAGTGTACCTGTGTTTCTTTGCCTTTGTTATTTTCTTTTTCTGTCTTTCGTTTTTACATTGTCAAAATAAATATTTCAAATAAATTCAGTACATTCCAATTTGACAAGTGCACATGGCCCTTTGAGGGGAAATAATTAAGTACAGCCTTTTTAAATAGGTGAGAGAAAATATAACTGGCTGTCAGAGCTCTACTGGCTGCCAGGTGCAAGGTTAACAACAATCAAAATAACAATAATAATAATAATGATCATATTAATAGAGCTCTTCTATATTAGAACTCAAATTATAGAGATGGAGATAACGCTCCGAAATTTGGGGTAAAGCCCCTCATGTTTACCACACCAAGCCCCCCTAACAAAAGACCTTTGAGCCAGCTGACAGTCACAACTTCATGATCAGGCACACATTCTGCGCTTAACTATCAGATTAGTTTGGTCGTAAATTTTTTTTAGTACGTTTCCCCTTTCCTGGAGTAAAGCCCCCACAGAGACTTTGGGTTTTGGGTTGATGTGTACGGCAACATAGTCATCAAACTGGCCCATTTAAAACCAGACTTCATGAATCCTCATGGAAACTAATCATTTGATCAAGTTGGACACCCAGTTTTCGTAAAAACATCCAAGAAAGGCGTAAACTTTGGTAAGTCATGATCATATGTGGCACGGGGACTTTCTCCATCAATAACAAATAAACTTCTTCAAGTTGAAACAGTTACCTTTGTGCTTATGTTGTAGTTAGCAAACCACAGATGGAAGGCAGAGTCAGCCCATGCCAAACTAAAGCAGCCACCAGAGCGTCACAGTCCGGGTTTAGGCTGTTTGAGGGTGTTTCGGTGTTTTCACAGAAACGAAACTGCGCAGCCGGAGCAGCTTTAGCTCGCTAACTTAACCACTCGGATTTTTACCAGCTCAGAGGAAAAACATCACTCTTCTGGGGTGAAACAACCGCGTCAACGCGTTAATTCCACATAAATTTAATTATGGCTCTTTGAGCTTTAACTCTGCACGAAAAAGGGAGTTATAAACATGATTTTCTGAAGTTTTCTTTCGCCCGCGTCCTATTTCGACAGATTTCAGGGGTCCTTTCTCTTCTCACGGCATGTCGTCATGACGCAAGTGACAGAGGACTGTCTATTCAAATGCCTGCGTAATCTGGGAATTATTAGATATATGATTTATACACAATTAATTTACTAAGAGAGGAAAAAAATGTAGGTTCTCTGAGCAATCTAAAAGCACTTTTGATTCCCCTTTCCCTAGTATAGCTGGGGTTAAATAACCGAAAATCTTAATGGCAATGTATTGTCTGGGTCTGATTACGTGATTAGATTGTCCTGTAATTAGTCTTACATGTCTGGTCCTTTGGGCTAATCTGTTCTTGGCGAGTAAGCAAATTGATCCTGATCTGTTTGTGAAAACAACCATCGGGCTTTTTTTACTGGCCCTTTACAGTGGTTGTGCAAACAAGTCTATATATATATATATATATATATATATATATATATATATATATATATATATATATATATATGAATGCGAAGTTAATAATTGGCTCTCTATCTAACTCTCTAGGCTTGTTTGCCCAACCACTGTAAAGGGCCAGTAAAAGCCCCATGGTTGTTTTCACAAACAGATGTATAAATATTTGTACGAGATGAATATCTATGTAGAAGTAATCTAACTAAACATTAGGAAAATAAAAATAATCTAATGAATATAACATATTAGAGAAAAGAGTGCAGAATTAAAAAATACATATTATTTTTATGAGTGCAAGACATCAGTGCCAGCACCCATCACTGAAAGTGATTGCACATATGAGTTTGCCCAATTTTGTAAGTTCTGTTCTGATTCCAGCAGATTTCATTGCAGAATTTTGTTTTCTGTTGTTTGTGTTGTGTCTCTTCCCTTTTTAGTTGGCATCCGGTGGATGTAAAGCATCTCACACTGGTACACAGTAGTCATTTCCAACTCTGGCCGCTATGCTAATCCTCCACTGACACAAATGCACAGACACACACTTAAAGACACAAACACTGTCCAGAGCCATGTGACCAGCTGACGCAATAAATCCAAAGCTTTATAAACCACCTTTAGAGAGTGCTCTCCCTTTAGGGACATCATTACAGAGCAGGTGTGTGTTTGTGCAACTGAGGGAGGGAAACAGGCGAGTGTGTCTTGGCACAGGGGAGAGCTGTTGCTGCTGCCTTACTTAGTTTAGTGGATAAGGAAGAGGCCAGAGAGACACAATAACAAAGGGGAAAAGGGGACTTGGAGTCACAAAGTTGCCTATCAGACACTCCTGAGGGCTGAGGAGCACTGGATGAAAACAACTATGTTTTTCCGCATCCCAAGACTTACCCCTGGATACATTAGATACCTTCAGGTATGTAAGATGCTTTCAATGCTTTCCTTTTTGGAATTAATAATGATTATTTCTGGAGTTATCCAAGTTCTACGAGTGCTCTTTCGAATCAACACCTGTTGAGATGCACAAACCCTGCAGTTTCTGTAAAAAGGTTAAGTTAAATAAACCAGGACATACCAGAACCTGGACTGATTATCCTGTTTGTTTACTGATAAAAGCAACAGTGAGCAACAGCTCTGATCTTTATGCTAATAACCATAAATTAGATAAAACAACAAAATTATCTAGTGTGAATGATGTAAAGGGATTTGACTTTTAATTAGCAAATCCAATTTCTATTTCACCATACCCCTTTTGTATACATTCAATTTATCAACTCTGCATACCTAAAGAAATCCGCTTTGAACGGCATCTTCACTTCACTTCACCGCTGTGAAAACTCAATCTGAACTGACAATACTGACTCACCAATGTACACAAAGTGCCCATATGTGTGTGTCATGGTAGGATTTAAAGCAGAAGATTACTGTGGCCTAACTTTGAATGGATTTGAATCAGGGATACCTTAGCTAACCAGGGTCAGCCTTTTAATTGGATCAGGGGAAAAGCATGAGATTGAGGCTTCAAATCACTCTGGGAGATCATTTAATGACATGCATCTGGATTTAGCAGCCTGTCAAGTGGATCGTGTACGTTTTAAAAATGGACAGTGTTAAGCCCAATTATCTTGGCCTCAGCTCATCAGATTGGGTGTTGAATAATAACAGAGAGCATGGTTACACAAATGACCTGTTTTGTATTTTCTCCATCTGTCTGTGAAGATCATGTAACTCAAAAATGTCATCTTTTAAAAATGCATTTTCTCAGGAAAATATAATGATATGACGGTTAGCCTGTGTTATTTACCTTCAGACCAAAAAGAATGGATGATTTCTAAATCTGCTTTATTTTTGAGAGACCCCCCTCAGACAAAATAATTAGTTGATTGAACCAATGGGGAACCTTTCCAAATGGAAATCTATAAGGGCTCCACCAGCATTGGTCATTTTTTTTTTTAAAGACCTCAGAGCACCAAAGCCAAGGTCACTCACTCTGCTTTGTTTATTATGTTTATATCTGATGGCAGTCGTTGAATGTTAGTGTTGACTACGACTCTGTTTTTCAGACCCAGGCAGCTCAGACTGTGCTGCAGAGCCGTGAGGCCCCAGTGATGCAGCGCATGGCCATGCTGATGGGCCTCATGGGGGTCGGCATGTCAGGCTACAGCTCACACCAGCTTACACTGCACTGCAAGCCTGCAAGCCACCTCTTGAGATGAGACAGAGGAATGGAGGATGCACACACACACACACACACACACACACACACACACACACACACACACACACACACACACACACACACACACACACACACACACACACACACACTTAATCTGACATTTTGGGAAATGAGCTTACGAGGGCTACTTTGTATTGGCAGTGGTCACCCGGCAACCATTGGAGACTATGGATGTTAGTCCTCTAAAAGATAAATCAAAACCCCCCACAGAACAAAGAAAGCTTGACTCTACACTTTCTTTATTAAACAAAAAAATGGCAATTTTTATAAAATACTGAACTTTGGCAGTGCTAGAAAGCAATTTCATGTCATTACAGTTCCAGGCTTGTGTTTTCAGTGTTCAGGCCAAGCTAGGCTAACTCGCTGTTAGCTATAGAAACAAAATACTTCCTCTATTATCTGTTAAAAAGCAAAATAAACTTATTTCTAAAAATGTCCTTGCACAAAATAGTAACAAAATAATGAGAGAGGTGTCGCTGCCAGGCTCTCTGTTCATCTGTTTTTGTTTTTCTCTGTGTGTTTTTAGTAATGATCCCTTCTTTGTGGTTTTAGTTTCATGTTATCCTTGTTCTGGATTTGTTAAAGGTGGATATTCATTTGTTTGAAATGAAAAGAACATTCACATGTACAAAACTACCTCTGATTTGAAGGGCAGTGCAGTATTTATTTTTGTAGATGACATTCAGTGAGACAGAAAGGTAGCTTTTGGGACTTTTGATGAACATGGTTAATCTGAAACTTTCACCACAATCTCCCACCCATATCCTGTGCCTTATCATGGGAGTTAGACTTAAGTATCCAAATTATTTTTTAAACATACCAATGGTCTTAAAAGATATAAGTTTCTAAATGAAGCTTAAGCTGAGCTCGTAGAAATCTTCTTATAAAATTTCCGGTCTTTCAAACAACATTGCTTGTCCTCTGGCATTTTGGTATTTTCCATGATGTAACACAGAGCATTCAGCCAGGGTGGAGATGCCCTGGTCCATTTGCTCTTTTTAAAGAGATAGAGAGTGATATCAGAAGCAACTTTAACTTAGAGACTTAAGGCATTTTTATTACAGTGTCTCTTGATTCTGGAGTTGACAGTGTGATTTTTGACATTTGTGCCACCTCTCTCACTTTAAAATATCAAAGGAACAAATAGGCCAAAAACTGCTCTCAACCCCTCAAAAACACACAGAGAAAATACTCAAACAGAAACATAGGAAATGTCTGAGTTTATGATGTGTGACCAATGCTACCTTGCACTTTTTGTGAAAATATCATGTACATAAAGATGCTTATTAATGTTAATGCTGAATGAGATTTGTAAAACAACAGTGGATGCTACCAGCTTTTGTTGTGAGCTGGGCTGGGTGAGGTCTAGCTGGATTGACACACAGGATATGCTGTGTTGTTGTGAGGCAAAGGGATCAGGTCAGCCACCCTGGATACCACCTCAGATAATATGTGATTCCACTTGGATCTCTCCCGGTAACACGCCATTGTCAGAAAAGTTGAATGAATGACCACAATGGTCTCTTAACATAGATAGACGTTTGTGCTCATTGATTTGTAATGCATAAAATGTAACTTTAACATTATTTTAAAAAATCACCGACAAAGAATGAAATTTAGCGTCAAGTTTTAATTGTGTCCTGCTAAGATTTAACAAGAGGCAGGTAGTCCTTACGCTGTAGTTTGAGTATAGGAGAAAAGATGAGCCTGTTAACAGGTCGCAAGGTGTGTGCAGTGATACAGTGATCCTCTTAACAAACACTCATCTTTTTTAGACCAGCTTATACTGCCATATGATGGGGGTCACTGACCCTGAAACCGAGACACGTAACAGCATGACAGGGCAAAGAGTGTTTATTTATGTCATTTAAGCTCCAACTGGGACTCTTCTTGAACAAGGGATTTCAAATGAGTGGATAGTGTTGTGTGGATGGTGGTTGTGTGATTTGAAAACAAAAAGCATTATTTATCATTTCTTGTTGCTGCATAGGCAGTTTTATTTGTTAAGTTTCTGTGATTTGACAGTTCTGTTCTCACTGTGGTTTTAAAACATGTGATGTTTTGATTTAATTTAAACTATTAAAAGCATGTTATAAGAGAGTAAAATCTACCTGTAAGGTTTGTGATTTCCCAGACTGAAAGTACATATAAATACAGATCTGTTGAAGGTGTCTGCAGGAAATTCATTATAAGTGTATTGTTTTTGTTTGGTATTTGGTGTTTGTTTGGTGTGTTTTGGATTTTTTTCTTTTTTTTAAAATTTCTAATAAGTTGTTTCTTGACTTAAAGAGAAAAGGCTTTTGTCAGTCAAATCAACAGACATATTTTAATGAGGCTCTTCATTTGTTCTAACATTGTCTCAACAGTGAAACAGCCACAAGTAATAATAATGACAAATCTTTGCTGAGATTTGTAAACAATGACAGAGATAATGTGAAAGCATGTAAATACAGATGATTACCCCTGTGGAGAATGTTAAGCATCAAATGTGAAACAAGCACCACTGAATATACATTATCTTTGCAATTATCTCTCTGTATGCACGAATAAAAACTTGTAAAGACATGGTACCATATGCTGTTTGTCACCTGTTTATCTAAAATATACCAAAAAAATAAGTACTCTCATCATACACTAGGTGTCAGCATACATTTCTTGTTCTCTACTACCCGTGGAGGTGAACCATTGAGCCAAAGTGTGTAGTAGACCAACTAAAATGAGCCAACTGACCCCTGCACAAGAAGAAATATCTGATTAAGAAACCAACCATTCACTAGAAACTTGTCCAACGTTTCTTATAAAAGCATGTGAAAACCATAGAGTATGTAACAAGAACAAATAAGACCATCTACAAGACCGACTGTTTCTATTTATTTATTCTTTGTGTCTGAAACAACTGGCTGGGGGTAGCTGCTAGTCCAAGTGATAAACTGCACACTGCCTTTGTTTACATTTTTATGACAAAAAGGATGAGTTACACATTTAAGAGTTTAGATAAAGCAGGAGGAGGTTTTGTTGAAGATGCGACCTTTGTGCTGGACAAAATTGATAAAGAATTGATAAGTACCTCTTATTTTACTGGGGGCAGTGGGATTGACACAAACTGAAGGCTCCTCTGAAGCGTTTTGATGATGATCTCACCTTTTTCAGCGACAGTCGTGTGTCAAACTATTGAAAAATTGAACATGGGGCTAACAAGATCACATTGTTGCCATCATTATGAGAAATCAGTTTAGGTTTGCCTGTTTTATAGTTTGCTTATTTGAAACTGACCTTTAAGTGTGTATATGACTCAACACAGGTCATCATCACTTTTTGACCAACATATCAAATCATTAATTGGTTCATGTTACTTTTATTGAAACTTTGCAAAACTTCAGTCTGTGGTCACACAAGCTGAAAGATGGTTCATACTTTTGTTCCCCAGCTTGATTATTGTGATTCCCTTTTACCTGCCTCAATATATCACCCCTTAACCATCAACGGATGATCTAAAACACAGCAGCAAGACTGTTTATGAGGTCCAAGCTGGACAACCCACATTATGTCCATCTAATCCCCCCTCTTGTGGTTGCCCATCAAAATCAGAAAACCTTTCAAGGCCCCTGTATTTACTCATAAATCCACTGATCATGTGTATCTCTGACCTGCTCCATCCCTCCATCATCAGTAGATCCCTGAAGTCCTCTGACCAGAGTCTAGTTCCTGTCCCTTAAAGTAAACTGAAAACTGGCTAAGATGCCTGCATGGCAAGATAAGGGAATCAGTAAGCAGATCATAACACTAAGTGGTGCTGTTTATTGTTTGTGCATTTCTCACTGAGTTTTATGAAATCTAAAGGAATATCTTGAAAGTGGCTCTAAAAGGGAAAAAAATCAGACTTTTTTTTTCTTTACTTATATGGCCCTTAAATACATTTTAAAAATGTTGTTTTAAAAAACTGTATTGATTATTAAAACTATCTTTTTTTCTAGTTGGTGACAAGGAGTCATAAGTTACTAGGACAGCTTTGCAGTGCTTATGTAATTTAATTTGTGTTACTTGGTTTTAGTTTTTTTTTTGTTAGTTTTGTCTGTTGTTATAACATTTGATTTTGAAGTTTTGCAGGTTTTATATAGAAAATGTAAACACCCATCCTCTGGGCACTTCACTTCACATTTATCAAGTCTGGCCCAGTCTGATCATTGAATAAACTCCAAGAGATGCTCCAGTTTCTTTGATGCATTAACTTTTTAGTGCATTTGTCCCTTGTGGGATTACTGGTTTGTTACCCTACACCTTGAAATCAATCTTGTTTTCCCAACAGCAGTTTCTTGCTGAATCACCAATCGCTCAGCCATGTTGCTCTGCCAGTCAGACAGTCACCTCCGGTGTTGTTAGTTAGTTCTGACCCAGTTACAGATCTAAGCTGCTTTGGAAACACACCCAAATCTATCTTGGTAGGAGGCAGCCAGGGTTGCAGTTGTGCCACAGTTGTGGATTTGATGAGGGCTTATGGCTTGAGCTTTACTGAGAAATGTGTGCAGAAATATATTGGAGGTCGGTGCCTACAGCCGTTTGCACAGGCCTGACCAGGAGTTATTACAAGCATCAATGTGGCTGTCAGAAGCCTTTTGTGCAGAAAACACATCTGGACTTTTATCAGTTTTCTTGCCTCAGGGAGGACAGGGACCAGGAGTCAGACAGACACAAAATCTTATTCTCCCTTACTCTCCTCAGGTTCACAGATACACACACAACCTCAGACAAACAAGGGTACATTGTGTGTCTGTTTCAGTGCTTCTCCTCAGGAGGCTCATGTTACAGTCTCTCACAACAAAGAGCTGAATGTCTGTGCTACCAAAGAGAGGGATAAGAGGGATGGAGGGTGGTGTCCAAGGTTCATGTGTGTATGCTCTGTTGACCCTGCAAAGGTTGTGAATGTTATTCATTTCAGTGTTCATATCAAATGAGAGCAATTACCGTGATTAGCCACATATATTGTGTAAGGCTATTTCCTTGTGAGGCTATTTTAATGGCTACCTCAAGTGAATCAATTTCAAGAATTACTCATAAATGTCAGCTTAAGGAAACCAGCATGATAAGAAAAATGTTGGATTGCAAAACAGGTGTAGAGTACCAAAAATATAGGGGAGAATGGGGAAAGATGAGCCATTTTTCATATTTCAGATTACTACATCAAGGCAGTCATAGCTTTGTCTCTATCTAGTGAATCTGCATATATTTCAAGATGTTGTGCATCCCTGCAAACCAACGGAATAAGTGTAAACATAACTGTCTTGGTTTTAGAGCATGCCAAAAACAGTGGTCTTCTATGGTCAACTTACCCCGTGTATTGGGTAAGTTGACGTGTTTTGTGGACTTGGAGAAGGCCTACGACCGTGTCCCTAGGGAATTCCTGTGGGGGGTGCTCCGGGGGTACGAGGTGGAGGGTTCCTTATTAAGGGCCGTCCAATCCCTTTACCAAAGGAGCACAAGCTTGGTCCGTGTAGCTGGCTGTAAGTCGGACTCGTTTCCAGTAAGGGTTGGACTCCGCCAGGGCTGCCCTTTGTCACCGGTTCTGTTCATAACCTTTATGGACAGAATTTCTATGTGCAGCTGGGGGGTGGAGGGTGTCCAGTTTGGCAGGCAGAGGATCGCGTTGCTGCTTTTTGCGGATGATGTGGTGCTTCTAGCTTCATCGAGTAGTGACCTTTAGCTCTTGCTGGGGCGGTTCGCGGCCGAATGTAAATTGGCTGGGATGCGAATCAGCACCTCCAAGTCCGTGGCCATGGTCTTCCTTTGGAAAAAGATAGATTGCCCTCTCCAGGTCAGAGGGGCGGTCCTGCCTCAAGTGGAGGGGTTCAGGTATCTCGGGATCTTGTTCACGAGTGAGGGTAGGATGGAACAGGAGATTGACAGGTGGATCGGAGCAGCGTCAGCAGTGATGCGGACGCTTAACTGATCAGTCGTGGTGAGGAAAGAGCTGAGCCGTAAGGCCAGACCCTCGATTTACCGGTCGATCTACGTGCCGACTCTCACCTATGGCCATGAACTGTGGGTAATGACTGAAAGAACAGGATCGCGAATACAAGTGGCTGAAATGGGTTTCCTTTGCAGGGTGGCTGGGCTCAGCCTTAGAGATAGAGTAAGGAGCTCGGACACTTGGGAGGCGCTCAGAGTAGAACTGCTGCTCCTCCACGTCGAGAGGAGTCAGCTGAGGTGGCTCAGGCATCTGGTAAGGATGCCTTCTGGACGCCTCCCGTTAAAGGGTGTTCCAGACATGTCCCACCGGGAGGAGACCTTGTGGCCGGCCCAGGACCAGGTGGAGGGATTATATCTCTCACCTGGCCTGGGAATCCCCCCAGAGGAGCTGGTGGAAGTGGCTGGGGTGAGGGCCATCTGGGCTTACCTCCTGAAGCTGCTGCCCCCCGCGACCCGGACCCAGATGAAGCAGAAGAAAACGACGACGATGACGACCATAGGAGCGGGGTAAGTTGAGCCGTATCCCTACTACCCCCCCCACTCTCCACCCCAGCCCTCCCTCATCTTCTCTCTCCCTAAATAACAGTCACTTCTTCACATTCATGTGTATTTTTTATCTATTATACACTATCCAACTGGTACAATTCTTTAAAATTATTATTGCATATAACTGCTAATAAGCTTTTTTGTAAAAAAAAATTTAACATGAGAATGTCTTCAAGTGATTCAGAACATTCACAGCTGTATTTTTAAAAAGGAAAAGTAACACATTTCATCAACTCTGATCCTCTCATCATACTTCTTTACTTTCTCAGTTGAGCCACTGGCTCAATTTACCCCAGAACTGCTATTATGACTTTATCAGTCCTCTAAGCTAAAATGGTGGACTTTTATGCTAGGTTTTTGACCTCATGTTGTAGCTCATAGATACACCAATTGATGTACAAAACAAATTTAAAATGATCTTTTTTTGTTCTGAACACAATTCTAATAAAATTTATGACAGACTCAATTCACTTTCAAGAGTGAAAAATGTTTTTGGAAATAAATGTCTAACCCCTTCACCCCTGTGCTTCTAACCTTCACAGACTGAATTGATGCTCATCTCCTAAATATTTGGTCACATGATCAATTACTTTGCCATTTCCAAGCAACAGGGGGTGGCTCAACTTACCCCACTCTCCCCCACACATATATAATACATAAAAAAAGAGAAAGCAATTCAACCCCTCACACTGAGAGACTCAGTTTATACAATATATAGTCAGAGAATGGCTGGGAGGTCATTGCTGATGGCATTTCATTCAGCCTAACCAAAGTCAAAGGAAAACACAGCTGAGTCTTGTTTCCATCTGTTTTACATGAGTCAATCCCCAGAGACCTTTGACCTCCTGAGGAAGAATCCAAGCAAATAGAAATATTCTACTAGGAGTTAAATGGCATGTCTTCACACCAGCTTTTTAGAGCTGGAAGTTTTTTGCAAATATTTTGTTTAGAGTAAGTATGTTATCATTAAAGCGGTGAAAGGTTCTTGTCACCGAAGTGACTGAGATATGTGTTTTGTTGGAACCCTGTATTAAACGTCAAATGTGGAGTTATGAAATTGTGATTAACCTCCATGAAATTACTACCAGATTCAGCAGGCCCTAATAGCTTTTATTCTCAGCACAGCTCTGCTATTTTTTCACTCTCTGTCTTTCGTAACATTCATTTCAACTATAACTTAAAAATCTGCAAAAACAAATTCCCTCTTTAAGCACCAATAAATGATGCA